TAGGAAGACAGAGTCTCTCGAAGAGCCCTGCAGTGGAAGTCCACGGCGGAAAGCCAAAGAAGGCACGGATTGCAGCTTCCGTCATCCGAGTGAGGGCGTCCATGTTTCTGGCCATCAGAGACGGATAGATTGCATTGGACGCGTATGTTAGTCTGGACATGATCATTGCATTTAATAAGTTATTCGAGGAGACTGTCGAGCTTTGACGTGAACGCCATAGCACACCAATGGAGCGTCGAACTTGACGAATGGTGTGGTCGACGTGGCCATCCCAGGAGAGCTCATTATCAACAATAACTCCAAGGTAGCGAGCCCGTGACACAATTGTTAGCAGTTTCCCTTCGCAACGGATCTGGAGCGGTTCTGCATTCTGCTGCCCACCACGAGGTGTTATATGCTAGACGTGAGTCTTCGTCTGGTTCAGCTTAAGGCCACGGTCCTCAAGCCAAGTTGCCAGATTGGTGACGGCGATGCTTAGGGAGGTGCATACCACTGCTCGACTCCCAGAGGCCTCGAGAACGATATCGTCCGCAAACACTTGATGAACGACGGGACGTGGAATGCAATTTGACTGGACTAAGCGCAGAGGACCCACACCTTGATCTACTGAGATGCGTCGTGGGGATTTTGCAGTCAGCTGTGAGACTGCGGAGGGTTTCTACTATCGATGCAAAGGGTAGCACTCATCTATACCCGGAGAATGTTTTCCGTTTGCATGGCCTCAGGTCTAGTATTGTGTGCTAAGAGGCTAAGGCCGATTCATACTTCATTTCACGTACGGGAAACGCGTCGCGTCGCGAAAAAGTTGATCTGAGCTCAACTATTTCGCGTACGGGAAAGCCGTCGCGCGGCGGCCCCGCGATGGCTTTCCCGTACGCGACATTTTTTACTACAAAGCACTGGCCAGCAACATAAAAAGGGGAGGTGAACAAAATTGGACAAGCGAACATTGACAACACAGAGGAGCCTGGCATGCGTGTTGAGGAGGTAGGTCAACCTCCCCCGACCAAGTGGTCTCGGGTTCATCAGTTGGTCTACGCGTCAGGAAGGGGAAATGGACAGAGAAAGGGAGAATGAGCATGAGGAGCTTCCCAGGAGAGGAAGAGTGAGTGAGAGAGAGAGAGAGAGAGAGAGAGCGAGAGAGAAACAGAAAATGATAATAATAGAGACAAGCGGTTATTTTCAGTGCTGGTGGACGTCAGTGGCCCATAGGCAATTGGTCTGGCGGAGGTACCATGTCTTGAATGTCGGCAATTTCTTGAGAGTTGGGCGATCGGCGAGGATTGGGGCAGGCAGTGTGTTCCAGCTCTCCAGGACAAAGTATGGGAAGGAGCGGCGGATGAACTCTGGACTGGAAGCTGGCAGAGGAGTTGTGAGTTGGAAAGGGTGGCCACCGAGGGACTGGCGTTGCCGGCGCGTCCGGAGTGCAGCGTTAACTCTTGCTGGGGGAGGTACCATGTTGGTAAGCAGAGCTGGACCTGGTATGCATTGCAGCTTTTACAGGTAGCACAGCCCGTAAACATGCCTTCGGATTGCCAGGCTGGGGAGCAATGAGGGGCCAATAACCTTCATGGCTCGACGCTGGACCAGGTCCAGCTGATGGAAGTGACAATGTGCCGCACTTGCCCAGACGAGAGGGGCGTACTCCATTATAGGCCGTACCAATTCTTTGTACACAGTTAGGCGCCCTGCAGTGTCCAGGATCCGAGACGCCTTTCGGAGCAGGCCGAGTCGCTGGTTGGCTCTAACGGCAAGGGAACGGATGTGGGCCCGGAAGGAGAGAGTACTGTCAAGTAACACTCCTAGCAGCTCAAGCTGAGGGCTCTCAGGCACCTGCATGCCATCAAATGTGAGCTGTGGGACATCCAGGGATGGTCTGTGGCGGTCAAGGAGTATTGCCTGAGATTTTGATGGCTCGAACTTTATCTTCCATTGGGCACTCCAAGTCTGTAGGCGGTCAATAATAGATGCTTGGGGGCTATTGCAAGCAGCAGCGATGGTATCTGGGTTTCTGATAAGGGCATAGAGTGTTGTATCGTCCGCATAGACAGCTAGATTGGAGCCTGGGGCCAAACACTGTTCTGCATCATTTATATATTACAGGAAAAGAGTGGGACCTAGGAAGCTACTCTGGGGCACTCCAGCCTTGATCAGGAACAGTGAGGAGGACTGACAGCCAACAACTACAGTCAGTTTTCGGCCATGGAGATACGACCTTAGCCAAGCCTGGAGTTGGCGTGGATGCCACATTGCTGTGCCTTCGCAAGGACACATGCGTGGGAAACCTTGTCGAATGCCCCGGCAATATCAACTGCCAGCGCATGCACAAGACCACCGCCAGCCAGGGTAGTGGCCCAGGAATGCTGGAGAGCCGTCAGTAGGTCCCTTGTGCCCAGTCCACGTGGGAAGCCAAACTGGGACAAGGAGAAGAGTTGATGGGTTTCCAGGTGATTCACAAGCTGCCGATTGATGATACCTTCCATGATCTTAGAGAGGATCGTCAGAAGAGATATAGGCCGGTAGTTCTTCCTCATGGATTTGGGCCTTTTCTTGTGCACTGGAACGACACGGGCAATTTTCCATGATTGGGGCTGAACTCCATTTGCAAAACACAGGCGAAACAATCTAGCCAGCGGATGTGCTAGTTTAGCTGCACACTCCTTGAGTACTCGTCCTGGGATCTCATCTGGACCAGTGGATTTTGATGTATTGAGACGCTTCAGGCACTGTTGGACTTCGGAGACGCGGAAGCGGATGCGCTGCAGGCCCGGTGTGGTAGTGCGGGGTGTTGCTGGTAACTCAGCATTGTCGATGTCATTATCCCCAAGCCAAGGCTACATTTTTCAGCAAAGAATCTAGCAAGGCACTCGCTCTTGTCACTCTTGCCAGTCTTAGCTTTCGATGTACTGTGCTCGTGCCCGTCAGCATCAGTGAGTGTTGGCACGTCTGTAGTCCTACCCAGACCGGCGGCGCGCTTGACATTCCTCCACCAGTCCTTGTCTCTCATGGAACCACGTGTGAGACGCTCTCGGACTCTGTGCTCTTCAGCTTGTTGTGCACGATGTTGGGTTGCAATAGATTGAGTGACAGCTGTCATGAACGACTGCTTCAGGCATTCGCTGGGCCCCTGGTGACGCCAGGCCTTCCACGCTTTCTCTTTCGCACGTTGAGCCTCAGTGCATTCTGGTGTCCACCAGCTCGGATCGGACGGCCTTGTTTCCAGCATCTTGTGGGGAATAAACTGCAGCATCCCGGACACGACGTGTCTAGTGACAAGGCTGCATGCTTCCTCTGGGGCCTCTGAAAACTCAGCTGTCCAGGCAATGCGACGGTAGTGGGCACGCAGTCTGTTCCAGTCGGCTTGGCCATATCGCCACACACGCCTCCGTGTGCTGGGCTCATTTTCTAGTGAGGCTTGAGCGAGCTTAGTGTGGACAACACAATGGTCTAACCTTCCTATCGGCGGCGAGATACCGGTGGTCACAGTACCAGTGAAGTCAGAGAGCACTAAGTCCAGGGTTTTGAGACCTCGGGTTGGTTCTTGGACATGCTGCATGAGGCTGTGGGCAGCGCTTAGTTCCTCCATGTACCCCCCCCCCTCTCCCCTGCACGGGTGGTGTTAGAGCTGCCGAGCCAAGCCGTGTTGTGGACATTGAAGTCTCCGACCAGCACGGTGTGGGTACCGTGTTTTCTGACGCTATCCAGGATGCCATCGAGGTGCTCAAGTGTTGAGATATCAGTGTCTGAGGCGGATCCTGGCCTGTATACAGCACCCAGCACTATCTTACCATGATGGGCAGACTGCATTGTGAGCCAAGTTACTTCGTGAAGAGATGAGTCGTACTGATCTAGATGATGGTACGCCAATGGGCTGCGTATCCAGATTGCTATTCCACCACCATGTTCAGTCCTGTCACGCCGAAGTGGGCCGGAGTACCCTGGGATGGCTGACTCGTGAAGGGAGAACTTCTCTGAGGTGATCTTGGTTTCAGTAACAACATCGATATCAGCTTTGGAGGATACAAGCGCGTGGTGAAACTCTCCAAATTTGGACATGATTCCACCAGCATTTGTAAGGAGGATTTTCATTGTTGTTTGCTTGCAGTATCTGCGCTGCTGCTTTTGTTGCTACCTGCGCTTTGCAGTGGATTGGGTAGGGATGGGGATGTGTCTGGCTTGTCAGGTGGTGGGCAGCCAGGCTGAGCTGACCCTGGTGCCGTCTTGTGAATGTCGGATGTGTGGAAGGTCCACCTCCTGCAGTAAAGTGGCCTTGTCCAGAAGTTGGCAGCCAGCAGGATATGCAGGGAGCTGACATCCACAAACGCTCTTGCAGACATGCAGCCGCTAGCATTGACATGCAGGCTACAGGTGTGAAGCACTACTGGTGTGTCGGAGTTGACGGCCCTGCTACGCCAATCAACAAATTCGCGTAACCGGTCTTCAGTTGTCTCCCTGCTGAGGCTACCAACATGAAGTATGAATCGGCTTTAACCGTGACCCTAGATTCACAGTCGTTCTTAACACTAATGTTACCCCTTGTTTAAAAACAGTTCTGTTTAAGATAACAAAGGCAATGGGGATGGTGTAACAGTTTCCACTACAACTGCCAAGTAAGTTGTCACCTTGTCATTGCTCTCACCTTTGATGCTGTCACACATGCACAGTGTGTTCCCACCACATGCACCGTCTGTTCACACCTTGACACTGCTGGCTCATTTCTCTTGCACCTTCTGATTGGTTCTTAGTTGTGTTCTTCACTTTATAACCTGATGCATGGCATGTTTTGATTGTTTTTTTTCCACTTAAAACTATCTTAAAACTACATGTACATTTGTAAGTTGGCACCGTTACAGTACCATGTCAATCAGCGATTACATGATTTTTCTACCTACTGTCGTTCTCGTTGTTTTTGATGATGTGGTTGGTGGCGTTTCATAAACTCTGTCAAAATGGTAGCGTCAACGATGGATGGCAAAAATGTTCGTTATACTCCATCTACTAATAATCAAGTGGCGTGCTCCACTGTCCGAAGAGTGCTCATTACTCATAGAGGGCAGAGCCTTGTACACAAGAGCTAAGAGAGAGATTTGAAGCTGTGTGGCAACTCAGAGTTTCATGTTAAAATTAGGATCGTCAGGCAAATGATGGCTCCAAAACAAAGAGCCTGAACATAAGGGGGGGGGGGCGAGGTGAGAAAATAATGCTGAGGGGAATAATAGTGCCCGAGTCAGCTGCAGGCGAGAAGTAAGTTGCTAAGTCTTCAGACTTGAGCTATGCAGCAGCAGTTCTGGTATGAATTTAATTGATTAGAGCCGGGGACGGAAGTGCCAAATCCACACATACTCATACCATTACACACATAATATTCTCTCACTCTTGCACACACACTCTCACGCACCCACACTCTCTCCTTCTCTCACATACACATACAGGCACACCAACACTCACGCGCGCACCCACACACACACAATCATTCTCTAAATCTCTCTCTCCCATACACATACACGTGCGCACACACACATGCAAGCACACACACACGTCCTCTCTCACTCACACACTCACACGCACACCCATAACAAAAAATCCTGACACCAAGAAAAGGACAAGGTAGCGATAAACATATTGGGCTATTAACAAAAACATTGTTTCTCTGAATGAACTATTGAGCTGAAGCTGCTGGTGAACAAGCTGGCAGTGATATTGTTGTTGCTGCTGCTGCACTGCAGCAATATGCTGCGCCATCATTTGTTGCTGCCGCTGCTGCTGCAATGTCCATTTTGGGGTTAGCTGAAGAAAAGAATAAAAAGGGGTAGAATCAGGAGGATCAGTATCGTACAACTTTATCTTTGCACAGGATCCTCCAAAACACTTAGCTGACATTGCAACACTGACCTACAGCATGCATTCTACACACAGTAGAGAATAACAGTGCCATCGTAAATATACCTCCATCTGCTTTTTCCTGCTACCGTTCTTCTCGGTCTTGCTGCTGCTGCTGTTGTTGTTCTCGTTGTTGCTGCTGCTGCTGCTGGTGGTGGTGGAGTTTCATACACTCCACCAATAGGTAAGCATCAAACATGGCTGGAAACATCATCATATACTCCTCCTACATAATAATTTAGACAAAGAGAAAGACCAAGGAACTACAAGTTACGCTATACTGTCCACTAACACCACCAGTTACTAAACAATCAGCTCATGCGATAACACTGCATGACACTGACCGACGGTACTAATGTTCTACAACTAACTGGCTAATACCTCTAGCACATCTTGGATGCGCACTCCCACAGCCTTCCAACTTGGAAGGTTCTAAGTTATAGAAATAACATAAGGAGAGGAAGGTGAGCGCAACCAAGATAAGCACGAGCTGAAAGTCTCAGCTGTGAGGGACGTTGGCGGATGTTCATGCAGGTCGATGACGATACTGGCAATATCATTGGACAATACGGTCAAACCACGATTCAGGAGCGCAAAGCCACATTCCACACAACTTGTGTGGCTCAAAAGATGCGAAGATCAATAAAAGGGAAGCTATGCGAACAAGAATCATGAAAAAACCGAACGCCTCAGTAAAACAGCACGGTACTTCGACTATGACAATTTAGATGGACAATAAGCAGCAGTTTCACACGAAGATCGTTTCGCCGTATAGATAAAGACGGCTCATCAGGTGTGCAGGAATGGACTCAGATGGAGAGCCAAGGTGTAATTTATACAAAGAGAAAGACCAAGGAACTACAAGTTACGCTATACTGTCCACTAACACCACAAGTTACAAGATGTGCTAGAGCTGTAAGTAGGTTAGTTGTAGAACGTCGGTACCGTCGGTCAGTGTCGTGCAATGTTATCGCATGAGCTGATTGTTTAGTAACTGGTGGTGTTAGTGGACAGTATAGCGTAACTTGTAGTTCATTGGTCTTTCTCTTTGTATAAATTAAACGTTGGCTCTCCATCTGAATCCATACATAATAATTATTATGTATAAAAATATTTTAAGAGAGGACCACAATTTTTTAATTTTATATCTTGGCTCTCCATCCGAGTTGAATTTACAAATGTATAAATCAAAAAAATCAAATCAATCAAATTTCAAAACATTGTCATTGCTAGTGTCATTGCTACAGCATATTTTAGTGCTAGGAAATACTTTTGTGAAGTGTTCTGAGAGATTATTTCAAATGGTGAACGGTACTATTCGGCCAATAGAATCTAAGGAGGAATTTCAGTATCTACCTGCAACCCTTCCTTGGTTGGTGTGTGTAATGGCTACCGAGGGTAGCAGTGAGTCGGCTGTGAGAGCGCATGGAGGAGAGGAAGAGTTCTTGTTCTGAGAGAGATCGTTTAAATTCATACATAATAATAATAATTATATTTCCTGAACATCTAGAACGTTTCCACCTTTCTCCGTCTTCGAGTCCCAGGAGACCCAGCAAACTGAGCATTATCTATCACGATGTACGTTTTTCATCTTTGTTTTTCCACAAAGCCAGCAAACTATGTATATAGATGGGAACAACCACGGTCAGTTACTGTTACGTACTGGCAGATGTGAAAGAAAATGATTAATTGAAAGAGGAATGGGGTAATTTCAAATTTGGAAAGAGCAGTACGTGGCATGTGGCCTCTAATTTCCTAAAAACTTAGGAATGGGGTACTTAACTTGGTTCAGTACGTTGAAGCGAACTATCAGAAAACGAAAATACTGACAACCCCACGAGAACTGGTATCCGGTCAGCTAGGAGCATGCCATTTCGTCACCAGTAGCCATTGGCGGACTATGCTCGGCCAATCGTCAAATTATGCTTTTGATTATGCCACAATTATGCCAACAAATATGCTGAATTATGCTCGGTTCCACTATGTATTCACGCTGTACATAGAGGATTGAGAAACCACGCATACACACACGCGGCCCCAGGGCTTTCTGACAAGGCTGTATTATGCCCTAAGCATAATTATTTTTGTCTAAACCGAAAGATTATGCCGACCTTACACGTTCGAATCCGTATAATTATTATGCCGGAGCATAATTTTTTGACAAAGCTGTATTATGCCCTAAGCGTAATTTTTGTCTAAACCTAAAGATTATGCCGACATTACACGTTGGAATCCATATAATTATTATGCCGGAGGACAAAGCTGTAGTATGCCCGAAGCATAATTTTTGTCTAAACCGAAAGATTATGCCGACCTTACACGTTGGAATCCATATATTATGCCGGAGCATAATTTTTTGACGAAATCCCAAGATTATGCCAAATATTAGCCGGCATAATCCGCCAAGGGCTAGTCACGTGACGTTTCGAGGTGGTCAATTGATCCAGTGACAATTCGCGACTGTGACCAAGCCCGAAATGCAATGTTCCGCCAGCTAACTTGGCCGCACAAGAAGCCTGGCATCGTTGTTTTCTCCAGCCCAGTGAATTGTCGCTATACTAGCATTTGCAGGATCATCACAAGCGGAAGAAACACTTGACCGCGCGTCATGCACCTCCAACCTGAAAAAGGGGTTTGTCGATATTAGTGCATTTTAAACCATTGTGTTAATTATTGCATTTTAAACCATTGTGTTAATTTGCCGGTAAAAGAGGTTTGTGGATCGTGCCTGGAAACTGCTTTGCCTAGTCCAAAGATATGATGACGAGCAACCACTCGTTGTCTTCCTGAGGGGCATCGCACATAATCTTGCTTACAACCTAGAGGAGTAAATTCTGATGAAGGACTGACCGCACATTTTGTAACACTTTTGAGTCATGTTCGGAATTGCATAAACGTTTCACTGTGCATGTTGGCACTAGCTGGTAAGAAGACAAGAATTCGGCGAACTCCTCTGTAGTGTAGAGGAGAAAAAACCCTCTCCTAGTTGGTAATCGCCTAAATAGTAATTCGCCCAAGTGTGTCTGTCGAGAATTGTCCAAGCCTCGACGTAGTTTTCGACCAGTCGAAGGCAATGAAATTTGATGCTACTCACAGAATGATTTTCAGCGTACTGACCTAGAACCCATGCAGTTTTCGCTTTTCTGGCAGCTCGCTTCCCCTAACTACATGTATTTGAATTAAATAATAGTTGAATTTGAGAAAGAACGTGTCGCAACTCACCTCACTGGTAGCATAAGAGAAGTATGTGCATTCCATGTCCTTGAAAATCTGGCCAATGGGGTAGCTCGCATGATCTAAGTTAGGCATGGCGAACATTTGGGACCTGAAGCGACAATATTTCAAAAAATGACAGGAGTTTGTGGTTACTTTTACAGAATATGACATTGGGTAGGCATGAAAAGTTGAAAACATATGCCTAAAGAAGCCTCTTTAGCTAAGAACCCCTTCTGCAGTTGACAAGTGCCCCTGGTATTCAGTGTTGACGCACCCCATGACGGCGTGTGCTGCTTGATAGACCAGTACAACGGGGCAATGTAACTAGTATAAACACGGATGTGGTGGCTCCGCCAAGCACACTCAAACCTGGCAATGAAAACAGAACTCACACTCTTTGGATGATATCCCAACGGTTACCCTTGGGATAACATTAATGCCAAGGTTGATTCGCCACAGGTGGACAAACGCAAACGTCCAATAGAATGAGCCCGATACCAGACCAGTATAACAAGGCGATGCAACTAGTATTACACTACATGTGGATGCTTTGCCAAACAGACTCAAAACCTGTCAATGACAACAGAACTAACACTATGCGAATGGTATCCTGGCGACGAGCAACGGAAGAATACTGATGCCAAGGTTGATTCGCCACAGGTGGAGAAACTTGCCAAAAACTGTCCCTAAAAAGAACCGAAAGCATCATTATCAGAGGAAACATTACATTGTCCAAAGCTGTTAGTAAGTAAGACTTGGCCAGGGACATGTCACTCCAAATTCAAACACAAAAGGTGTTCATGATGGAAGTATGAGGTGGAAAAAAACCCCAGAATACTACTATGCTTCTCACACGAAATTGGTAAACCAGCAATGCTCAAAGTAAGAGGATGAGTTTGGCACAAAACAGGATAACACTGGTGTTAAGTGCTTCCTCTGCAAATAGCAATGAGGCACAATTCTGAAGGATCAGAAAGAAACGAAATTCAGTTCATTTGAGAAGTAGAGACAGGTGCACACGCCCAGTCCCATAGCTAAGAATGGAAAACTTACATTTGATGCGTGCTGCCTTGGTTAGCCATGGGGTGAGAAATTGGCTGTTGCATATTGCCAGCACCAACTTGACCCACAGGCAGCGCAGCATTGGGTAGCAGGCCAGGATTACCACAATTTATACCCGAACCACGAGGAGCTGAACCGATGTGGTTACCACCAGGAGGAAGCATGCCACAGTCCGGCAAACTTGTGTACATGTCTGAAAAATCCTGCAGACCGAGATTAGTGCTAGGCGTTGCACCAGCAGAAGCAGCACCAGAACCAGCACCAACAACATTCCCTGGCGGCGGCAGCATTTCCGTGCTCGGTTCCACTTTGATCATGGAGAGAGCAGCAGCTGTCGCTGGGTTAGCTCCATTCATCGTGCCGCCCTGTGTTGAGTTCCTGGCCTTCGGATGATCTGTACAAAACCCATATAGCTCGGTGTTGAGGTCACGGCATTGGGAAAGGGAAGTCCTTGCTAAAGGTCCTATACTTACTGCTACCCAGGGTAAGATGACAGCCATGGAGTGAAAGAAACTGGAAACCAACATGGAATCAATGATTTTCGGGTTGCGGAGGGTAATGGGTCCACTGTACTGTTACTAACTCGGGAGCTAGCCAAAAAGATATGTTAAAAGACCCTAAGATAACCGATTCGTCCGCTTGTCTACAAGGGTAAGCGTCAGTACAAGACAGACGATTTGTCCGTGGAACAGGAGGCAGGATTAGCAAGGCTAAAGCAAGATATTATGGCCTTGTATAAGACCTATCGCCCTCCACATGTCCCCAATCTGACAGAAGATGAAAAGGCCCCGATTGCATTGCTACAGGATAGAACAAAGGAAGGCGAAAGAGAGAGAGAAAGAGAGAGAGAGAGGGAGAGAGAGAGAGAGAGAGAGAAAGAGAGAGAAAGGGGGGGGGAGAGCGAGAGGGGGGAGAGATAGAGAGAGAGAGAAGGAGGGAGAGAGATAGCGAGTGTGTGTGATTCCCCCGGCATTGTCTATAATGAAGTGTGCACTGTGTCCGAAGCGGTATGTCGGTGAGACATTCAGGGAGACATTCAGTGTCGCAAGAGACCCTTTCGAGGAACACTACTACGAAGCACGTCACAGGATGATCACCAGCAGCACGGAACCACCAAGAGCACAGATGTGTTTTTTGGCCCAACTATTGAATTCTCACTTGACTGACTAACGACTGCCATCCAGAGCACACGAGACGTCCATCGAACCGTCCATTCGGCAAACCTGCAAGAAAGCACCACTCCCTGCTCAATACACAGTGTTTCGGGGAATTCACCCCTCATCAGTTGAGCTTGAGTAGTTTGACGAAGATTGTGCCTGAAGAACACTACTTATCTAGTGCTGTCCAGGCACAAACATCACCAGGGATACAAACTTACAGATACGCTCCGTTTCCGGCACGACAAACACCTCGTGAACACCAGATAGCAGCGTGAGTCAGTGTCGCTCATGGAGGTGCTGAACAAGCGCTGAGGACCGTTGGTCATTCATAACGTTGTTGCCTCCAAAAACCATCTAATTGGCAAGCCCGCGCTGGGGACAACAATGTAAAGAAGAGGTTGGTGCGACTGTGGCGATACTTGGGGAATTGTGTGTTGCTCCCGACATGGGAACCTACATAGGAGCTGCTGAGCTGCTGCACACCCTCTCTTTCAGCGCACTTCTCCTTGTCTGTTGTACATGCAAATTCATCCACTCATCCGCGGCTATTGTGTGTTTCGTTTGTTTTGTTCTTGGTGTACATACGCTCTCGCTTGTTTTCGTTAAAAAAGGCCAGGTTCCCCCTTTGTAAATTGTTTCGACGATGGGTGACTGACCCGAAACGATATTTTTTATTTATTTTTATTTTTTCGACATCACTAATAAAAGAATTTGCATCCAGCCCATGCGCCAAGAGTGAATAGCAACTAAATAGAGCGGTCGTAAGTTGACAAAACCCCTTTTATTCAGAATACAGTTCATCTATCTAAATCAGACAAGATCATCTACCCTTTCAAACATGATAGTAACACAAGAACGACTTACATAGTCGATAGAGTGGCCGCATTGCAATACAGACATTGCAGTCCGGATATCCACAGTTTAGCCAGTGTTTGAGCAGCGGGCGCGATGATGAGCAGTGTGCGACTGAAAGGGGTAACGAGAAGGGCAGGATAGACCATTACATCTGACGTAAAATACTGTGAATCCTAAGCACGCACACAACGGAGACGAACGGCCATGTAGCTGTAACCTCATGTTTCACGCATTTGCGCGATCATCAAACAGCAGCATTTGGCATTCGCACATTTCACATTTGGCATGCCGCTGTCTGTTGGTCGCTGAAAAGCGTAAAGCTTGAGGCAACCTACTTGAAGTAGTTGAAGTTGCAACTACAAAGCCGAACGCCTCGAGTGTACAGGACAATCATGTACATGTATGATTGTGAATACTGCAGAATCTGCCACCTTTTCGAGCAGAATCCGCCGGTCCCTAACTACAGTTAAAGTGATAACACAAGCTATCTATCAGCGTCCGTATAAGCCTAATTTGTGTGTTCAGAAAGATAGTATAATTGGGTTGAAATTGATCAAGTAACGTGTCGTGTATGGTGCGGCCAAGCTTGGCCGTTAAGGTAGCAGCCTACCCATAAATTTCATATGCCATTCAATTGAGTGAAATTTTGACCACACACTCCTGCCACTATGCTGGCCCTCTGATTGATTGATTGATTGATTTTTATTTCACGGATCCTTCAGAGGCAAATAGATGCCTATCGAAGGGATTCTCCTAAATAAGTATGGAAAATGAGAAAGTATGTTCATACTGGACATGATTTAAAAGTTCTTGCACCTCACTGACAGGCTTTCCAGGCCGGAAAAACTCAAAATTCCGGCAACGTGCCACAGTGTGCGAGCCACACAGGCGCCAGACAAATGCATTTACAATTTTTTCACATTTTCGTGCCCATTCTGTCCGTCCGCGGGATTCAAACCTAAAACAAGTCCAGAAGCAGCCATGGGTGGTGGGGTAGGGCTCCTCAACGTGGCCCTGCAATCTGTCACAACGGAACGAGTGGGCGTTCTCTCACCGACTCCCACAGACCCAAGTCAATTTTTGATATTTGTTAGGTTTAGGGTGTGCTACGCGGTCGTACCTTTGATTCAACATCCAGTGCTGGGACCTCCACAGCAAGCCATTTCCACAGCGCTGCACACCAAATCCAGGAGACCCTCAAAATTCGGCAAAGACTACCACTCACGTTCCGCTACCGCCTAGTACTGAATCCTACCTAGCTTCTTGACACGACTCAAACTTGCCAAAGTTACTAAATCAACGTCAACTACAATAATCAAGCCACATATCTGCACCGTCACGAGGATGCTGGCAAAAGTCCTGCTGCACCGCGGCGGGCTTCGCTCTCCGACCAATACGTGATTTTTTGGACTTTTTTGGACTTGGAGCAAACTTCTCCACACTTTCGCGTGTTTCCATAATACGACAAGTTGCGCACGGTCTGCTCACATTCAAATACAGTGCTGCCAACAAATGACAGCGTGCAACAAGAATATCTTTCCTTGCAGTGACACATTTTCGGCCGTAACTCTTGAACGGCTGGTCAGATCGGGATACAATTTTCAGAGAATTTGCAGCTATTTTATGCTCTTTCAACTGACGTAGCACTCAATATGAATTTAAAAATTCGATTTTTCAGCGAATTTTCGGGTAGTCTGCCACCTTAATGTTCTAGGTGAAATGTACAGCTGTTATGTGGTGTCCCTTTGTCCTTCCTTCTTTATTCTCTTGTTTGTTCATTTTTCCATTTGCAAGTCTATTGTTAGCCCCACAAGGAGACGGACTTTCACCTGTACTGTTTACGGTATACCTCGAAGCTGCACTGCGTGATCTTCGATCAGCACTACCACCAAGACCGACTGCAGATGCGCAGATACCACCGGAAACAGCATATGCCGACGATGCTGACTTCATATCAACGTCCCACACATACCTCCGTCAGCTTCTGGCACTTGCAGAGGACATCTTCGACAAGTGGGACCTGAAAGTCAATGTTTCTAAAACGGAATGGGTCAGGATGTACCTTCAACCAGTTTCAGAAACAACAGTGCACCGTGGTCAAGAGCAATGGAGAAGCATCAGGACTCTGGGCTCTCTGTTTGGCACTGCACAAGATGTGACACGCAGGATTGGTCTTTCTGCTGTGGCATTTGGTCGAATGAAGGCGATCTGGTTTCGGCGGCAACATCTACAAACTAACACCATGGTACGACTCTACAACGCATACGTTCTTCCTATCCTCACGTACAATATTGGCTGCGCAGGCCTCTCTAAGGCACTGGAAGACTCCCTGGATAAGATCCATCGCAAGCAACTTCGGCATATGCTTGGTATCTTCTACCCTCGTGTCGTGTCGAATGATGACCTGTATGAGCTTGCTCACACTGAGCCAATATCCGCTATGGCAAAGCGAGCGAGATGGCGTCTGCTTGGACACATCCTACGCCAGCCATCATCGACACCAGGCAATCAAGCAATGATTGCATACGCATCAATGGAGTACGCTGTGAGGCACAGGAGGGGAGCTCCAAGGTCCTGTTTAGTCACCACCCTCCAGCAAGACGTCAAGTTCACCGCCGTCGCATTGAAGACGAGCCGGCACCTCGAAACCCTAAGAAGTTGTGCAGTTGACCGGCAGAAGTGGAGTAACATTTGCTCTGCGGTGGTGTGAACACACATGACCGGCTGTGATTTTGGTGTGGACGCACATGACTAACTGTGATGACCAATGATTTCATTTCATTTATCTTATTTTTTTATTTTTCTAAGAATGAGCTTTGCTGATGTGGTGTATTGGAACTCATGTGAAATCTACACCGTGATTGTTTTCGTCAAATATCATATCTTCTCTTTTCTCTCTCTTTTTGCCGCGGTGCTTTTTGTTGCCGCGGTGCTTTTTGTCACTCCATTGTCGTGAGTTCCCTTTGGAACGTAGACGAGAATTATTATTATTATGTTAGCACACGCATTCGTTATTGCTCTCGCTTTGATTGTTAAATTTCACACTTGTAAATTTTACTGCTGTTTTTGTGCACGCGCACATGTTGTCCAGGCGTCAGGGGCCCAGCCTCCCTGCCCATCCGACCCGCCACACACAACAACGAAACTGAACTAAGAGTTCTACATAATTTCTTGACAAGACGGAGACGGACAGACAAGAAGACCGGACACGACGAGGTAAACTGATAACTGAAGAAAAAGACTAACATTTATCGTTGGTTGGTTGGTTGGTTTTTATTTCACTTCGCACATTCAAACGGGATGACGACCCAATAAAATGACGGCGAAGGCTTAGCCTAGAAGTGGCTATGGAAGAACATAGTAAAAGCTATGGAAGCACAAAGTAAGAGAATAGGATACTAATAACTGCGGGTAAACGGGGGGATGGCAGCATACGAGCATGCGCGCAACAAAACACAACGTATGACAATGACGTAACCGTTACTTGGATCATGTACAAACTATACATGCAACCAAACCAGTCAAATACGAGTCAAAGCAGAACGCAAAACAATCCAAAATAAACGAAAGGACCACAACAAAAAGAGCCATGAAAAGTCTTTCTACCGATACACAACAGCTGTTGTTCTTAGTGTTATTTCTCTAACTTAGATTTTCTATAATAGTTCAATTTTGTTTCAGTGTCCTTTAGTACAACGACGATTCCTGATGAGTGTTGTTTGAAAGCTTGTTTGAATCCATATTTTTTCTCTACACCATTTCTTCATATTATAATTGTTCTATTACACATCGTCTCCACCGTTTTTTACATTGCATGAATAAAGTACACAAATGTCGGTTCAGGTTGATAAATATGGTGGTAAAGACACACCTGGCAATATGGCGGTAAACACACGCCTGCTCACACACGCTCTCTAAGCTGCAAAGTTCTAGCACAGAGCTCTCCTTCTCACCACCACCACCATCAGTTCGCGCCTGGCGCCTAGTCGATGCATGGTTGGCGGTATCCGACATAGCAGGCTGGTACATCAAGTAGCGCAGGGCACATAGAAGATGACACAGCAACGACATAGCTCGATTGCGACGTACGTTTCGTCCCCGCTGGACTCATCAGGCAATCTTCTTCTTGGATGTCTTCATACGGAGCTTGACTCGGGAGAATGAAGTGGTGAGAAGGAGAGCTCTGTGCTAGAACTTTGCAGCTTGGAGAGCGTGTGTGGGCAGGCGTGTGTTTATCGCCATATTGCCAAGTGTGTCTTTACCACCATATTTATCAACCATAAGTGCAGTTGCAGTGGTGTCTTCAACTTCATTCTCTAAATGTCGGTTCAGCTAATTTTATTGATTGCGGTTATCAAATTATTGTCTCCTCGCCGTTTGTTTAAATAATACTTGTAATTTGAAACTCGGGTATTGAGCCAATAATAAAAGTAGAAAGGAATACTTGTAATAATAATATTTTTTGAAAGGATTGGGAGAACTTCAAATTTAAAGGATCAATTGGGGAAGTGAACTGCCTGAAAAGAGAAAAAAACCGCCAGACCCACCAGGACTCGAACCCAGGACCTTGCTTGTCATGAGCAATGCTCTAACCACTGAGCTATGGGACCGGGCTGAACCTAGAAGGCGCTGACCAGTTTTTCACTCCAAAGGCAGCTCACAACACGTGCCACACATACTGATGGCACTTGGGTCTTTCTCCCTCCCAGTACAGTTGATGCTGATGGGGCATCGGATAAAGTGCTGGCGTCAGTAATTTTCTGGTATACCTGGAATCTACATCTACAGCTGGTTTTGACTTCCAGCCATCCTTCATTAGCTATGCTTGTGACTATCATGCCAGCAAGTTGATCGGCAGCATCACCTCGCATCTTTGATGGTGAGGCCTGCAAAACGTCACCGACCAGTGACGATGCTCGAAAAGGGCACCCTACCAGAGCTGGCGCAGTGTATGGTGCAGTCTTCCATGAATCCATAAACTATGCTGTTTGGCTGCTGTAGCTCTGACGCTTGCGTGTGTGCCTTACACTAAGGGCAGCGGGCCGTCTGCTCTAGCCATTTGCTAATGCATGCACGGCTGAACGTCTACCAGCAAGCTGCAAACACTTCTC